TAGTGGTGAGCCAGCCCACTAATAACGACCAGCGTATCATTGATAATTGGTTTAACATCCCATATGTTATGCTGATTGCAGGAGCATGGAAGTATAACATCTATTTTACACACCATAACCCCCAAAACAATTATAGAAACGCCCTCTTTACAAAACAGAAAAGAAAACCAGAGTTGAAGGAATATCCATGGATTCATCGTTTCGGTCTTCGCGTCAGGTCAATCCCCAAACGCCAGAAAGTCCAAGCTAAAATACTTCAATGCATGCACCACACCCGAAACGCCGTTAAGATATCTTTTCCGCCAACCAGCTAGTATCCCTGACTGCGGAGATCAGATGCAAAACACAATTACTACTCGATGTCCCCGTTCAATCCTCAGTCGCTTCGTAACATACTATCCACCAAATCACCCAGCGGTCCCCAGAAGTCCTTCCCACTGGCGAGCTTGTGCTCATCAATGAACAAGACATAGTGCTTGAAGCTGGTGTTGAGGTGAGGCTCGAGGCCGAGGTGCACTACTACTGGATAATGGTGGCAATAGATGTGGGCGTAAACACGGTATAGACGCTTGAAGATCTGGCGGAGAAGACTGGGGAAGGTCTTGGGGAATGGAACACCTGGAAGGAAAACAACGGGTGAGCAATAGATCTACTATCTAAACGGATGACCGAGGAGACATACCGATCCGGCTAGGGAACATTTGTTCGTTGTCGACGTTGCTCTGAACCCAGGCCATCAAATGCTCGATGTATTCCGGAGCAGACATCTTGGTTGGCCGCTTGAAATTCTCCGAGTCTTGCCAGAGGTACTCGAACCTATCCAAACTTGTAAGCCGGGAGTCAACGACCAGCCGAGGAAGCACCGTACTCATCTGTAGCCTTCATCTCGGGACATGTTTGCGGTGAGCAGAACTCAGTTATTGAGCCGTAGAGAAGGTTGATCTGGTTGTAGAAGTCGACAACTAAATCGTCAAAACATTAGCAGATGTACCTAGTACAACGCCGCAAGATGTGCCTTACTGTTGACGGCGAGCCATTCATTCTGATATTCGCCTTCGGGCAGTTTTACAGCCTTGCGCAAGCTACCACTTCCAAGTGTGGCCTCGGCGAACTGTCGTAGCTGATAACTACTTGTGCCCTTGGCGGCCGAGCGGGGTTTGAAAGGGGCGCGTGTGCGTGCATTGCTGGGAGGTGTTAGTTCAAAGCAGCCTTGTTTGAGTGCGCGCACCGCCGGCGACAGGTAGGACGGAGGCTCTGAGAGGGGGATATGAGAAGTGCGAGTAGTCTGATATGAGGCGGGAGGGCTGATAACGGAAGGAGGGTGGGATTGCGGGGAGCAAGAGGTAGGCTCCCCAGGGAAAGGGAAATGGGCAATGGGAGGGGTAGCGGGGACAGACATGGTGGTGATGAATGAAGCCATAGTCTCTTAGGCTCGAAAAAAATATAATCCTTTTCGGTAGGGGGTGTATTCGGCGGGGTTTGCGCTGATCGCGATGTGCCTACATTCCCATGTTAGATATCACTTGTTGTCCAAGATTTGAGGAATGTCATCAGATGTGCAGATGTGTTGACGTGCAGATGATGCCAATGGATCGTACTTGACAATGATTGTGGATGATATGTCTAAGAGAAACTTTGGAACGCGCAAGGAGAGAGATGTTATCGGGTTTCAGCTCCCAAGTTGATAATGTGAGATCCGATCCGTTGACTGACCGCGTTGCCCCAGTTACCGCATGTACGTCACAGATTAAAAGAATATATTTTACATATCTGACTTAGTAGACGAGTAGAGCTATGTAGTTCTTTTCCAAATTCAATTTTATATCAATTATACAGGGGGAATCCAGAGCCTGGTGGGGCATATATTTGGGGGGTTTTCTCCCTCGATGATACGAGGGGAATATTTAAATCACACAAAGTAAAATCAAGCATAGCCTGCACGGCAGACAAGCACATGTGTACATCTAGTGTACATCTAGAGTTCTAGATTGGGTAGCCTTCATTCTCCTCGGGCAATCGTTCTCGAACAGTCTCTCCGTAAACTGTCAACGGGATAGCGATCTCAAATGATTCACAGTTCAAATGCTCCATAGCAGACAACACCGTCCCGCGATCATCCGATGACAAGGCTTCGAGTAAGCGAGTACCCGAGGGTTGGGCCCCTTGCTCGCTTCGGACACTGGATGTCACAAACTCGAACCGAAGTTCCCAGTCGAGAGTCACACCGCTCGTCAATATTGAAGGCGTGGCCGTGATAGGGATAGCAGGGCTGAAAGCCACCCGGGTGGCATGGAGTGTGTTCTCGAACAGGGAGGCATGAATACGCCGCGTGGTTCGGTGAATGCTAGCATTGGACCGGATGGCCAAAGTAGGAGTGACTTTTTCAGATGTCTCTAGCGAGGCACGTACAGCGTAGCATGGAATTGTGGCATCTCCAAAATCCATCGTGGCGATAATGGTCTCTCCTAGTCGGTGAACTGGTCGATTCAAGACGACCACTGCGATACGTTTACCTTCACGGGCAATCTCAAAGCGATTGGGACTCCGGCGAGAGTTCACGGCCTGGTTGCTGCGAAGGATAGCAAAATCGATGACATCCTTGGTAGTAAGCATCTGGGGTAATCCTTCAACGCTAGGTCGTCTTGAGGGCGTAGCACCAGGTGGGAACAGCGTGTTAGAACGCGCACGTTGCTCCAAAATTTCATCCACAAAACCAAGGAAATCAGCCGCGGAATGGTGAGATTTGCTAATACTTTGGTTTTTCGTTATCACTGGCATCACTGGCCCGACCTTTTGCACCTTCGCTTCATCCCGTAGAAGTACGTAAGGTGACATCAAGTCATGCCCAAGGATATCTCCCTTTTCTACAAAAACGTGAGAAATTGGAATGGAAATCGAAGTGGAGGATGTTACTTACCATTCACACCGCTGAAAACGCGGAAGGGTATGTTGATGCGGTTGACCTTTTGGGGTTCGTTGGGTCCGCTAGTTCGCTGGGTTCCAATGACTAAATTATATGAAATCTTGATCGCTTTCCCTTTATGACTCGCCGGGAGTCCTTTGGGAAGGGCGAACGAGAAGGAATATGACTGTTCCTCCCCTGGTGCCAGTCGGAGGTCAACAAAAAGCAGCGACTGTGAGGTGGACAACAGCGGAATTGACCTCGACGATGTAACACCACGCATTTCTCGTAGACCATCCAATTCGTTGTTTGAAAGAAGGCCATTGATAGATTCCTCAATGGTGTTCCATTTGAGTGCGCCCCAAAACCCACCAGTTTTACGTGGTCGCTCGGCTGTTGGCGTTGGGCGGCCAGGAAGTCCGCCTGAACCCGGTTGGCCACCAACAACTCCCTTTCGCTTGACTTCGTCGAAAGCTGACTGGTTCACTAATGATCCATCGACCGTGAATGATGCATTAACCTGTGCATATCCCATCAACAGCGCCTGGCTGTTAGAGGCTTTGGTGGGAGATGAAACTACACTCGAATAGTGCCGCGCGTGCCGCATGGGAGGGGGAGCTCGTGGCCCTTGTACCGAATAATTTGTGTATTCAGACCCGAGGGTCTCGGTGGAGTGGTCGCTGGCGGAGTAGAACTCGCCGCTGCTCCGGTTGCTCCCATTCACGCTTGTAGCTGATATAATCCGGGTCAATTGCTGGTGCGCGGGTCCAGTAAGGCCCTGTGCATCTCTGACAGTGGGTCTTCCGCCGGTTGATGATGTACCGTTCGTTGTCGCTGACTTTGGTGATGGAGTGCGCACAGTGCGATTGTTAGTTGAATCAGTCGAAGGCGTAGCTGGGAACTTAAAATCGAGGGGAGGTGGTTGAGGCCGTCGTGACGGTGCACGCAATGGTTCTACTGCGCCTATCGGACTAGCTGCTAGAGAGCCTGGGCCGCTGGCTCGCCCCAAATGGGAGGTATCAACTCTCAGGCTGCCGTTGGGGTGTTCATTAGGAGCCTCGGTCAATGGAAATGGAAAGGCATGAGAGGGGGATCTCGCTGATGAGAGACGGTTATTAGTTAAAGAGCCCCCCTAATCACATAGTTGCACTGTCCATCCCCTACCTTTTTTGTAAGAATCTTCATAGCTATTGTTCCTTCGCGGCAGAACCTGGAGACTCGCCGAGCGCCCATGACCCCTAGCTGGCTGATTTCGATTATAATGGTGCGGGGAAGGCGTCGGATCGAGTTGGCCTTCGCTATCAATAGAGAGGATGGAGACGGACCGTTTATGGTTGTGGCCCGGTTGCCATGCTCGCGGTGTAGAGGGGCCGTTGTTCGGAGGAAAGCTATGGGAGCCGACCAACGGAGAGCTCAGGGATGAGGCTGTCCGATGAGAAGGCTTTCGTTGCGAGCTGGTAGAATATGATCGCCGACCAGAAAAGAGAGCCTGTGGTGATTTGAACCCGAAGAAAGATTCCGAGTTCGAGTTGGGGGTGTGGTTCGCGACTCGAGAGGTCTTCCGTGAATGTTGACTTCCTTCGCCGCCATGATTGGCATCAGCACCAGTATCGGCCACGTTCTTGAATGTTATAGTGCATTCCACATCCTCTCCTGCAAATATAGTCTGGTCCTTCCATTTCACGAAGACTTGGATGTTGGATGGCATGACGGTTGTGTCAGCATGTGGGTTGCAGTTCGAGGGGGGCAAGGCCTGGGAGAAATTGCCGGCACGATGAACTGTAATTAGGTCGAAGCTTGGTGAAATGTGCCGCCAGTAGCATTCTGTCAACCCGAATGAACCATGCTGGTTGTAGAGTTGAAGATGTGTTGCCGGGGGAGTTGCGTGGCGATGATATCCTTGCTCCTAGCTCCACCCCGAACAACGGGCTAGATGACATACGATACCCACCCTGCCCTGCAGCCAACTACTACGGTAAATACGTCGTTTATTCCCGAGATTAAAACAGAAAAAGGTCACAGATGATATTATTTATGGTACAGGCGAAAATTAAAATATATATAACATAGTATAACATAGTATAATATACACAGATGACTATCTTCGCTTGCGATTGTTGTCATCATACAGCACATGGAAGTCGGAAAGTGTTCGCGTCCGGTCGGTCGAAGGGCGAAGACCAAGCTCGGCCATACGACTCCAGATTCTATCGTGTCGGTTCTCCCATCGCTTGCGCCGACTCTCCATCTCGTCCTCCGATGGGCGCCATTTGCTCTTTAAAATTCGGCGAATAGCTTCCGGGGACATCTGAAACTCCTCTGCGAGGACAGCGGTCGTGAATTGTTCGGGAGCCTTCGCATGAAGATGGCGGATTCCATCGAGGGCATCAGGTGAAAGCTTTTTGGGTGGGTTCCAACCACCAGCGAATTTCTCCTTCAAAGCTGCTTTTTGCACTTGCCAGCTCTCAGGCTTTCTCTTTCCCCTATTCTCTGAGAGCTGTTTCGATTTTTGGGCTCTGTCTTGCCAATCCTTGCGAGGTTCCTTTTTGGCCTCCCTGCGAGTCTCGTTGCGGAAAGCTCTGCGCTCTCTGTCGGTTCTTCCGGTGCTATCTGGGTCCCTTCGCTGGTCCTTGGGGTGGCTTTTATGATTATTCCATCCACCTTTCTTGCCGAATGAGTCGTAATCTTTCTTTTTGGGTGTTTTGTGTTGAGGCACGGTGTCATCAGTGGCGGCCGGAGTTTCAGGGGCTGCGGGCGCTGGTTCATCATTCTGGGAATCACCCAAGCGCGGCATTGAATTGAAGGATCGTTGAAGCTGGGTATTGGAAGGGAAAATAGGACCAGAGGCAAGAGGTCGGTGGTAGGGGATTATTGAAGAAGTGCCCAAGTTACTGGTGAATTGAGAGCGGAAAACATTGCGCAAAACTGCAGGTAGAGCGAGCCTCGATGAGGCTGCACATTTAGTAGCCATATTGAAAATCGGCTGCAGATGGGAAAAGAGGGAGTAACAACCAGAGCAAAGTTGAAAATGAATGAATGGGAGAGATCTGGAAGTTCAGTAATGGGAAAATATCCGGTGGCGATAAGATAACCAAATAGTTACAGATGTTGGTGGCCTGAGGAATGTGGCAGAAAAGTTTGTACGTGTGTGTATCAAAATGAGATTTTCGAGCTATGTACAGAAGAACAGTCAGCCGCAATCGTTGTCATGACTTTTTGTACTATTTTCTGGGTCTTTTTATAACATTTCCTCCTTATTTGGTAATTTAGCTCGGGTGTAGACGGAAAATGGCTTTAGATGTGCAGACGACTTTTGGAAATAGTTAGTATACCTCTAAACTTACATTCTACATATCCAATTTAACCAAATGGATCCATATATATCGTATCATATAAAGCAAGTTTATGACCAAGCAAGCATTGCCTCTTTGAGTAGGTTATCTCAACTGTGCCCTATACCTACACCAATAGTCCTCCCAAGGTTTATCCAAGTTGATCATGAGAATATACAGATGTACCGAGCATGTAAATCGATATATTTTCGACTTGTAGTTTTAGTTTGATATATTTATTCCAAAAGAGATGTATTCTTGGCATATATCAGCCAAGACATATATTGAGTTATGACCTGAATTGGTTCCATATGGCTTTGAAATAGTATCCCTCCATTCTATAGTGCTTGCAACCGTCTCGAAGAGTTACAATATAAAGTGATTAAATAGAAGTGCAAGGCATAGATGAATTTTAAGATAGGCTAGTGTAACAAAGCCATATCTGCAATATTTGAATGTGATTGATTGTCGACCAAAGTATATTTGCAAGGTGACGCAGGAAGAGGCTACAGTTGACCGTCTCAGTAGGATGACCAGGTGGTCCAGGGTTGCCCTTGACAATCTGATCTTTAATCTGCCCTTGGGACAATTTTTAGTTGAGCAGACTGTAAATGGCAATAGAAAAATAGTATATGTACTCTGTTAACTAACTAACAGAATGTTTGGCTATTCCGATTTCCCATTATCGATATCCTTCAAGCCGAGAAAGCTAGAGATCGCAAGTTTTAGTACATATATGATTTGAAATTCAAAAGATGCCCTGCTTCTTCAGCCAAACCTCTAGAATATCGTTCACTTTCTGTAACCGCTGAACCATAATCCAATGTAAAGAGCGAACTTCTTGAATTGTTAGATGGAGAACATATTCATGTTCGAATGAATCGCAAAATCACCCAACGCTCGAATGAAAGGCGTGGGACAATTGAGATCACTGCCTCTTTCGGATCCCAGCGAGTAGGGACAAATCATCAACGAAGGCTTGATAAAACACACGATAAGTGTTGCCTACATCATCTTAATACCAATCCCGGCCTTTAACGGCCACATCGACCGTGAGTGCTGAACTTGGAAGTTGACGCTTATGTATGTAGCTTTTCAGCGGTGAGATGCGACCAACACTGGAGTACGGTTATTGTCTAACGAGATGTTTAGAGCCTTGTACCTCCCACTTCGTTGATCCGTGTGATTGGTAGAAATGGACAAATATGGCTGCCCAATAAGTACTCCGTATAATACCGGAGTTGGTGATGTATCGCAAATAGACTCGTCAAATTATGCTATGAGATTAGGGCATCGGAGGGGCACGAGATACTCGAGGCACGTGAGACTGAGTTCGAGGTGTACAGACAAAGTCTGGATTTGCTTTAGTCTGGGACCATCCCGTGGACCGCCCTTGGTTCCGAGCTGAGCTGAGCTGATCTGATTTGATCTAATCTGTGATATAACCACGTCCAATACCCAACGTACAACATACTTCCATCAGAACTCACGTTAGAGCCGAAGGTCCGGGTTAGTGCGACGACCTGTGCGTACACGACCCACCGTTCATCTCACGCTTTGTGGTAGATCGAGAAGAGTTTAAAGATCTCAAAGTTCTGGACAAGTGAGAACCTGGCAATTTCTCAATTCCAGGCTAATCAGAAGCCAAGCATAATCCCTATATAACCCCATGGAGCCAGGGGGAAGCAGAAATCCAAGGTTCAAATTCCTCTGATCGACTGGAATGATCTGCCTTATCGCGGAATGAGCCTCGTGTTTGTTTCTTTCTCTCTTCCTATACGCTCTTTTGGTGAGTTCCAGATTTATATGTGTGTGTGCATGTGTGTGTACATGGAGATCGGACTTGGCTGATCAAAGCTTCATTTCAGCTTGCCCCCACTAATTCTACTATCCTTCCACACTCTCTCCTGAGCGCTCCCGAGATAAAATTTCCGACGCCTACTACAACCTGACTGGCATCCACGAACCTACCTCATGAACTTGGCTTGAAATACAAGTATCCCGCGCTCTCAGCGGACCTCGAATCACCGATCGCCTCCTTCCCGAGGATATGGCTACCACCGCCCCCTCAGTGCGAAAAGCAAGCTTGCTGGACCCAGCGCATCCTTGAAAATCACTCCTTCGAACTCTCCAATCCTCCGACCAGGCACGCGATCCCCTAGCAAAACCTCTCATCAATCCTCCTTGTCCCTCCAGACCGTTATCGGCACAACAACAACCACTCCCAATGGCTTCTCAAGTCATGACCAGAGCAGAAGCTTTGCGCTATGCGCTGGATCAGCAGCGGTTCTTGCAGAATTGGACGAGAACGATAACATAACACAGCGCTTCTTCCGAGCGCGGCCTTCCGCAACAAGTGTCAACCCATCAACTTCTTTCTACAACCATTCGACTCCCCCAGCCACCCCAGACCCGAGATCGCGATCCCTTTCCCATATCCGGTCCAACCCACACCTTAATCTCCACAATGGGTCTCCGTCAAGCGAAGCCATCGACAGCAGCAGCCCACGTGGATGGTCCTCGAGGGAAAGAATCAAAGCAGTAACGAGTGTTTCGATCAGCCCGAATGGAAGATTCCTTGCAGTGGGAGAGGTAAGTGGGGGAAATTGAGACAAATCACTCCAACAACAGCAGCTAACAACTTCAAGACTGGTTACAACCCTCGAGTGTTGATATTTTCGACAGCGAGAGATGCTTTGCCGGATGTTCCCCTATCAATTCTGAACGAGCATACGTTCGGTGTTCGCAGCCTGGCGTTTAGCCCCGACTCTCAGTATTTGGCAACACTCGGCAACCCGAACGATGGATTTCTTTTTATCTGGACAATCAACCTCAAGAATGGGTCGGCCAAGCTACACTCCGCGAATAAATGTACTTCGTTTATTAAGGATATGTGCTGGGTCGGCCAGAGCTTGGTCACGTATGTTTGATTGGATGGTAGTAACTAGCACTCGACTAATATTTTTGTTTAGGACCGGTCTGCGACATGTTAAGGTCTGGCGTCTTCCAACAGTGATTCGGCCTGTTTCACCAACCAAGACACGTTTAAATATCGAGGGAGCTGGCCCCTCGCCCAATCCTGCCCCGAAAGCACTTTCTGGCAGGAATTGTCTACTAGGCGCACTGGGTGACAACACCTTCACCTGTGTGAACAGTATTTCCTACAATGAGGCTGTAATCGGCACAGATTCAGGCGCGGTTTGCTATCTCGATGATCGCGAAGGATCACAGAAGATGATCACGGTAAAGCAAGTTGGATTCAGCATCACCTCGTTGGCCGTGGACTTTGACCAAGAATCCATATGGCTAGGTGGACGAGGAAGGCAAATGCAGCGGGTGCCATTTGAGGTTCTACGATCACCCGGTTCATCCACACCGATGTCTCCTGTGCGCCTTGACAAAAGTGCGCTTGACAAGAAAAGCAAGACACCGGCGATTACTTGTATGGGGTCTCTTAATTCCCATTTGGTCACCGTTGAATCCACCCGCGCGATTCATGTCTATCCGATTGACACTTTAGGCGAAGATGGTGAACAGGAGGAGGGCGAGGCTTCCATGCCGGCCCATCGGGACCCGATTCTCGGCATTGGCCGCATGGATTTCCCCAATGACTTGTCTGCAGACTTCTTCACATGGTCTCGCAATGGTTCAGTGAACTTTTGGGATGCCCAAGGGAAGTGTCGAGGATCTAAAAATATCGATATCGACCAATTTCCAGCAAAGGAGGATGATGCGGCAAACGAACTCAAGGTTTTAAGGACTGCTGAGAATGCGGGCTGGTTTGTCTCTGCTGACAAGCTTGGTGTATTGAGGTATGCGCAGATATGACATAGTGATCAAGCCCTTTAGCTGACTCTGGTGCAGAATATTTTCAAACTCCGACTGGAGCTGCCTCAACGAGGCCCGCGCCCATGGTGGGGAGATTACAGATGTGGTCATCCAAGGAATGGACGATACCTGGCTGATAGCTAGTTCTGGGCGTGATAGGATGGTGCAACTCTTCGAGAGACGAGACACCGAGTTGCAATTGATTCAAACCATGGACGATCACGTCGGAGCTGTTGGACAATTGATGTTCATCAACGAAGGCGAAAAGCTGCTGTCGTGCTCCGCAGACCGCACTGTTGTCATACGAGAACGCGCGACGCGAGAGGTGGATGGCGGCACATCTGTTGCCTACCTCATCTCAAGGGTCATCACTCAAAAGTCCTCGCCGGTGTCCATGGCACTTTGCCCAGATGACTCGAATATTCTATACCTTTCTACCATGGATCGTTGTGTTTCGAAATTCGATATCCCCTCCGGCCATCAAATTCACTGTTTCAAGGCATCTGATTCGGAGACAGCTGATGCGGTGGTTTTGAGTTCGTTGACAATTGCACCTGAAATTTCAGGCCAGACCCCGAAGGTTCTTATAGGTGTTTCGAGCACCGACAAATCTATTCGCGTCTATGATTTAGAGCGAGACCAGCTACTCACTGGCGAATTTGGCCATACAGAAGGCGTCACCGACGTGTTACTCCTGGAGGAGCGTGATAAATCCGATGGGTCCCAAACCAAGCGCACAGTGGTCAGTGCTGGTATGGATGGTATCTTGATGATATGGAACCTATCTGTCCAACAACAAGTCTCACCAGACCTCATCGGGAACACACGGGAGGACGAAGAAAACCCCGTGAAGGAACTGACAGCGGCGAGGCCTCCTCTCCGAAAAGTCCTTTCCCGCAGCGAGCTCGCCGGATTCCAACGACCGGATAGCCCCAATCCTACAACACCAACACCTATACGCGAGCACTCTCCAACCCTACTCCGCAAGCTGTCTCGATTATCCCTAGCACCATCATCGCTCAAAAACCACGCCGTTTCAGAAACATCCTCCCCACCAAACCGCCTCTCCCCAACACCAGGACCAGGCACACCACAAGACCGACGCCGCCGCTCTCCATCCCCAGTAAGCCCGAAATCCAAAACCCCAACACCCCGAAAACCACACAGCGCAAGAACCACCAACCGCCGCACATCCCTCGACTTCCGCAACCGCGGCAAAACAACCCCGCGCAGCGAATTCGGGAGTCTGGATATGTCCACCGAGCAGCTATGCCGGAGTTTGCGAGCGTATCGCAAGAAACTCAACGGCTCGAGCCAACGCATGCAAGCGCAAAAGGAACTCGAGCGCGAGCTCAGTCTCACACTCCGCATCGTGGGTGGCCGTGGACAGAGTAGCGATGAGAGCGCCGAGACTGAGACGGATAGTAGCGGGAAAGATGTGGAGCGAGAGCAGAAACAGAGCTACTCGGCCATGCCCAAGTCGCCTCGTATTCCTCATCGTATGCCGTCTACCCCGTCGTTGAGACATAAGGGGGCGCGGCAGGTTTCGCGGAGTCGTTCTTCCGATACAAATGAGGACGAATGAACTCCGTTCTCTCGTTGGGGATTTTTATTCTGCTTTGAGGAGAGGTACTGCATTTTTGGTTTTCTATGGCTTCGGTCGTGGAATTGTTACGGCGCTTCTATATCACTTACCCTTGATCCTTTCTTTCTTTTTCTTTCTTCTTTTTTACTGGCATTTTCGCTTGTGCATTCTCTTGGGATTTTTTTTTGCATTCTTTTTGTTTCCTTGCATCTTTGCATCATCTACTGGATTTTCGGTGGCTTGGGCGATTTTCCTTTCTACTTCCTGATTTCCTCGAGATCATTTCCCTTCTGATGATACCCATATTTACCCTTTATTGAGAGGCTATAGGCCATCTCACCATGATCAACACCCTTGAGTCCTTTCTTTCTCTTTATATACATTTTTTTCTTTTTAACGAAAAAGCATAAGAATACCTAATTCAAGTTTTTCAATTTCACTTCAAAAACCTAGTACTTCACTGTACACACACAATCCCCCACCTCGTCAGAGCCCATCTGAAATACCATCGAACATCTCGATCAAATCCTCACCTAATTTCAATCAATCAGTTGCGTCTTGATAGACGCTTCTTGCTAACTGCACGCACACCCACTCGAAGTCTCTAGACCAAATCAGCTTGACAACTCAAGTCCTCAAACTCCAATCAAGCTCCCTAGCCTAGTTTGAAGCATCTCAACCAGTTGTTTGCCCTGGGCACCTGGCACAAGCTGAGCAATACTAATGGCCTTGTTCGCCCAACGCTGACAATCCTCATCTTGTGTAGCACGGTAAAAGTCAGTAGCCTTGTTGAAAGCCACGGTAGCAACCTTGATCAACTCCGCAGCTGGATAGGTAAACACTTCACAAAGCTCAGACCCGGTATGCATGGTGTTCAGATTGTGCTGTGTATTGAATCCTTCATGCGTAATGTCTGCTTCGTTTGCCATTCCAAGGATTTTGTCAAGCACTTCTTCAGCAACCTCAGGGTGGGTCATTTCGACATCGAGACAAACAAATTCAAGATAATCTGGTTGCGGAACTGGTGTAATGGCTAGAGAAAACAGACAATGGAGGTACCGGGGCAGGGAAATCCGGAAATCGCGCTGCCATGTGCTTGGGGGGTCGTCCTGTAGCTCGCTAAGTTTTAACATGATCCGCTATTGCATGAATGTCAGTCGTCGTTCAAAGAATGCAGTATCTCATCCATAAGAATAAAGCGTACCTTGGTGACCTGGATTCCCAGTGTGGGTGGCAGGTTCAATTGGAGATTTAGATCCATGATAGGTGCGTAAAACTTCGGATCGGGGAATGTGTCGTCAGATGCACATATGTTGGCCACATCGTCCCACTTCTTAAGGTGCATAGCAGCCTCAAGGTCAAAGAATTGGGCAACCTCATGGTGCTTATCTTCTTTGTAATTCGCGTCGTCATCTGCCTCCTCCTCTCCATCATTCCAACCACGCAAGTCATTGAGCTCCTGGAAACAAGCGCGTACATTCTCGTACTGCAATGCCTGCATATGGTCAGTATGGTCATCAGGCTATGGTATTGTGATATTCTCGGGCGATAATTTGGTATGGACAAGAACCGCTCGAACTAACCTTCTCAGTCGGATCATCCTCGCAGCGGGCCTTCAGGGAGCTAACAAGGAGACGGAGGTAAACAACTGCAAATAAATGCGGTCTGGGTGCTTTGGAACCCATCTTGGGGTATGCAATTTGACGATACTGAAGCGCAAACTGTAAACTTGTTAGTAAATATAGCCAGAAAGATACATTGCATGAATTCAAAACAGACATCTCTAGAGTGATCCAAGACAGAAGTAGCCCACAGAAACCCTGAAGAGTTGATAAGTTTCAAAGCAAGTTTGTAAGATGCAAAATACAGCCATTGCAGTTGGGTGACTGAGACCTCCTGGTCACCACCTTCAAACATGCTGTTCTCTTTTGCGTAAGATAAGGCTGTTGAATGGTCAGTATCAGAAGATAGCTATAGCCTTAGAAGGGGAAAACGCACCACTTTGGAGTACAGTTTCGATACAGCTGCCAATCCTCTGGGTAAAGCCGTTTGAGAGTTCTTCGGAAAGAAGAGTGATTGCAAATCTGTTCAGGGTAACTAAATTAGCCTAGTAGACGAAGTCATAGATTCGAAACATGCTCACATGTAATGTTCCGCGGAGGGAAAGTCATCATGATAGATGTCATCTGAAGTCAAAAATTTGATGAATTGATCAAGACAGTTCAGTACTTCTTCTGATTTGTGTTGTCTCTGGGCTTCCATTGCGCATGATAGGAGACTAGTTTGCTTGTGCGGCACTGGATGCAAAGGAAAGCCGAGATGAAAATGTCCTTGTATTTGGTTAGAGTAAATCAGAAGAGTAAAGTTTCCATGGAATATTCATACCAGAGCCGTCTTTCCCTTCCAGCAAGCACAACTTATAAGACAAGTACATCCTCTCGCAATCCACTTGACTTTGGAATAGACCCCGGTCGATTAACAGACGAGCAGCGGCGGTATCCCCAGTCTGTAGGTAACATGCTACCAGCTTCCTGAAGAAATGTTAGCCTTAAATGCAAGTAAAACGACGGTTTTGTTCTGCTTACTTTTGTATCGCAATCTGAATTTCGATGGAGCAGTGTTGGAAAATCTTCGGATCAGTACACATCTGAAGCCATAGCTGTGCAGTCCAGTAGTCCTTCTTGAGAAGGGCTTCACCAATCATTTTCCAGATGCACTATAGGCAATCAGTCAGCTCTTTTCATTGATGATCATGGGAGTTTGGCTTACAATCACGGTGGCATGAGCTGCCTTGGCGCTAATTGATGGATATCCACGTTTCTCTAGTGCGTCAATTACACCTCTGAGGTTGCGAATGCGCTTGGAATCAGAGTACTCCGATCTGCTCAGAAGTAGAAGAAAAGCAGCAAAGCATTTCTCTGTCCATTCTCTTGGGAGAGGGCGCATGAGCAAAATTCGAAATGCCTCCATTCCGTTATCCAAACCACTAAATAATCGTTAGCAAAATACCTCACCAGATAGACTGCACATAGATACCCTGAATGGCCCAGAGATCGGGCAAAGTGAAAAATTCTAGATCCATGTTAGTATCTGTGAAAAACTTCCAGTCAATACTTGTTGGGATAACTCACATCGGCATGTTCATATCTGTGAGAGGTAACTGATCAACCAGACCCTTCAGGCCTACAACAATATGTTTAGTTCAATTCCATCCTAGATAAAGATCAGTCTTACCTTGTAGTAATTCGTCGTTACTAGGATTGTTATGTCCCACAGAGAGACCGAAAAGGACCACAGCAGGGTGCTTTGGGTAAAACTAAAAAAGTCAGCTTCGGGTTTACCACGCCTCACTACAGACGTACTTCTCTCAACTGTCTCACTTCAAACTCGTAGGTGACGGCTGCCTGGGGGATTCTAGTCTGTGCAGAAGCCACGGCTGCAACACGTTAGCCCAGGTCATCAACTAGATCAACCTACTCACCAAGAGAGTGTCGAATGACCAAGCTCCAATTATTGTAATCTGGAAGCTTCAACTGACTCATAATGGAGAAGGACTGGAAGTGATCGCTTGCTCTCTGCAACCATCTGATTGCGATTTCTGGCAGGCGCCGTGCGAGTGCGGAGTCACCAATGATAAAACAAGTTTCGAAAATCAACTCATCATCATTTGACACGGCCGGCATCGGGAGTTTTGTGAAGAAATGCTCGGCGACATCGACTTGATCCTGCAACCAGGCCTAGAATAATATGTCAGTTCTGGTGATGACACAACGCAGTGTTCCGACGATACAACTCACCAGTCGAATGCGAAGCAAGAAGTATCGGATGGTGATATTGCGGTTGATTGCAGGATCAAGGCCAAGATGAACAGGCTGAACATTCGTTAGCCTTAGAGCGGCTGCAGACATGATATTCAGCGCAATTTCGCGTTGCTCGTTCACTGTTTCTGTTGTTAGATCTGATAAAATCATCAAGTGGGATATAGGATGATATACCGATGCAAATACGCGCTGCCTTGAGGGCCAGATCGAGAGCCCTGAGGTTCCCTATAAAAAGTCAGATAAACTCACTTCAATATATATTAGAGATCGTAAAGAACCTAAGAGATCAGGCGTGACAGCCATATTCAAGATGGCGAACGCGATAGCCCTCACTTTGCCGAGCACTAGGACATCTTCCGGATTGTGATAACGCAAGGGCATCAGATAAATGCAGTCGTTCCAAAGCAATGTCCCAACCCCATCTAGATGCTCGCGATTCGCCATATTTGCTACGAGACCAAACGGGTTACTGTTGAGGTCGCTATCCAGTCTGAGGACGACATCGGGGGCGAGGAGAGGACTTGTCGAAGTACTGCCTGCGGATAAGATCGTATGCAAGGTACAAGCAAACTCTGAGGTGGAAGAATCTAGAGATTAGCTCTTGCACTCAGAGGGGGATGGTGTGCGTCTCGTACCTGTCAGAGCATGGCGTGTTCCAGATAGCTGCGCCATAGGGAAGACTTGGGAATTGGGAGACGAAGGGAGAGGAAGACGAAAAAACAGATAGGAGATGCTAAATGTTGGCAATATGTTAAGAGAAAAGAAAAGAAATAAAGAGAGTGAGAGGGAAGATGATTGGAGTTGGAAGAGCGTGGAGGGACAAAAGAGACAACTGAGTCGTGGAGGCTGCGCTCAAACTCCAAGCGCACTTGTTTACGTCGTCTCTTGACTATTGCAAACGGGACATCCATGGATACATACACTATTCAGATGACTACCTCTCTTCCTATATATCACTCGAGTCAAAATATGCTATTAGATGTTGTACACATAAATCAAGCACTATACATTTTTCCGTGAGGAGCACAGCCAAAACTCGGGGAATCACTAAACCAAAAGATGATACCAAAAGATAAATCCTTACGTGACATAAAATAAATAACAGAGTCTACCAAAAAGTACTATTTATCGATGGGGAGGAAGTTTCCAACGATGAGAGACGGGCTGCACAGTGTTAGTTTCAGTACGTCAGGATCTGGTGGACAGTGAGCAGTAAACACTTACATGTTGTGATTGTCTCGTCGGATTGTAAACGAAAAGCAGCAGGTAATACCATCGCCTGTGGAGTTAGGGTTAGGACTCTTCAGCGTACAACTGGTGAGCATGGCCTTTTGGGTATTGTCGAAGGCGATAGCGCCGAATTTTTCCCAATAGCTGACCAATTGGTCTTCGACAATGATCTCGTGGATAGCAAGTTTGCCCTACAGAGAGTAAACATGTGAGTTCGCTGTAGTATGATGTGGGGATCTCCAATTTTGGAACTTACATCTCGTAGACCCTCAACCGGGACATCAATCAGCTGTGCCATCTCATTGTTTCCTCGGAAGATCTCGCCCGTTCGACGCCAACAGCAGGCCGGGATAGCCATACTTGCAAAAACGCGGTCGTACTCCATGAGACTCCGCTCGAACCACATCTCCACCAGAATCAGTTCGATATCAGTCAAGCTTTGCATGCGTTCTCGGAACTTAGGCCGGAATTTATCGAGCTGCCGCAGAATCTTTTGCCGAGATATTTGTTGCATGTTCTTTTCCATATACTGGTTCAATCGTGCATATCCCTTGACATAGTTGAACGGTTTCAGTAAACCGGCGTCATATTTCGCTTTGAGAAGCTTGTTCATTCGCTCCTCTGGTGGGTCAGTTCCTGCTGGGTCGGCGGCAGTCATGTAGTATGTTTCCCGAGCTTTGTCATTGCCCACCGTGGAGGTTGGTCGTTGAATGGAGTCCCCTGGCGGTACTTGGTTTTGTGCTGGTGCCGGAAGTTGTGCCGGAGGAGGCAACCCGTTTGGTAGCGCCATACCATTCATCGAATTCATCAAGGATGAATCGGTGTAGATCCCCTGCATGTCTTGATTTTGGAACATCGCTCCATCGTCCAAGAGACTGTTACTGAGGAAATCTCCGAGCAGATTGTACTCGTTGGTCACCTCATGGGCATTAAACATGTATGACGGGTGGAGAGAATGCATATCCTGGAACTGATTCTGACCACCACCTACCCAGTCGGTATATTGCATGACTTTCATACCACGTCAGCTGAGTCTGGGGGTAAAACAGGATTTGTTGCGAACTCACGCTGAGAGTTAGGCTCGAGGCCCTGACTAGATGCAGAAAGATTGCCAGGCGGTACCGTTGAAGGAGGGTTCACAGCTGAGGGTGCAATTCCGATCGTGGTATCAGGGAAAGATTGCTGACCAGCAGCATCGGCGACATCGACACTCCTAGGCATGCCTTGAACGGAGCCCAATTCATTGTTAGACGAGCCCTCGTCGTCTGCAGCAGAATGTTCGTGTTCGCCGCGTCCTCGTTTTGCAGTTTCCCTCGGCTCGTCATGGCACAGGTGGCCGATGTTTCGCTTTATACAGCGCGTGCAGGGCCGTTCCTTCATAGATTCAGACAGGTCAGCTGGTGCAATTTATTTCCCGCGAGTCTGGCTTCAGGGTTTCAGATGTGACGGGTCGCAAACGGGGAAAGGAAAGACAGAGGCGTCGTACCGAGTCACAGGTCATATGCTGTCCCACCGCGAACAATTAGCAAAGCCAGTTCCTCCAATAGATATGCGCCAGCACTAATGCCGTGGCGTATCGCATATAGCAATCAAGCATAATGACATCCCAAGAGGTGAACTTACCGAGCGGCGACAATATACACAAGCTAGAATTGCGGGAACCTCTCGTTAGCAAAGATGTTCTTATCGTTATGCGCAACAGAATCGGCCGCGCCCAGATCCCTGTCGCATGCTGCGCAACGGCACCTTACCGTGATTCACCTTCCGGCGCTTCTTGGGACTGGAGTGACTCCCCGAACCGGTCGTTTCGGCCTTGGCCACAGATGTTTGCGAGTTCTTGACGCTCGTATCCTTCCCTGCATCAGTGGACCTGGACTTTGTCGCATTTGAAGCGCCCAACGGCGCATTCTTTTCGGACATTGCGCAAAAGTTGAAGAACCACCAGGGCCGGAGTGAAATGGCTGCCTGCAGACCAGTTGGTAGTTGGTAAACGTCAAAAAGTTCTTGGGGATGGAGAAAGCGGAGTCACCCCTCCGAACTGCTCCGCATGGGGTTGGCTGTTTGGGCACACGCCACTTTTGGGGGCGAGACCTCGGTCAAGGAAATTACGTTTTTTTTTTCTATTCTTACAATTGGAATTTGGATTGAGACCATATTCTATACTCCGTGCAAAAATGCAGACTCGTGTTTTATTGATTTTCAACCATTTAATCTTTTCCCCCTCCTCTCATGCAGTGGGGGCCTCGGGTTGCCTAGTCATCTTTGAAGGCAGGACTCCTCAGATTGGACTGAGTGCGCATGATACTCGCATTACCCTTCTCCCAATATAGTGTGATTCATATTTGACCCGTGCAATGAGATATCCTTAGGGGAAAAAAAGGTGCGTTCAACCATGCGCGGTTCCACCATATGCAGCTATTCAGCGACTGCATTGAGATTCAAGTACGAGACAAGGATTGCCGATGTAATTCCTGGTCGCCAAGCTCGGTCAGTACTTGGTTTGCGTTTTTAATAAGCACGCATATTCTGGGTCCGAGGCCCTTCATGTGTCAATCATAAGCATCGAAATGCCGGTATTGGTGGTTTGGATGGTGTGGTGATATCCAGTGGGACGATCAGTCGTTGGGCATCGAGTATAGATCCAAGGCAGCTTGTGAACGAGTGATGACATCGCTGAGTCCTGCGAAGGGGGCGGTGTTGTTTTGCATGGATTGAAGATGGCCATGCAGTTGCTTCATGAGTCCTTGGACCTCGGGGTCGGTCTCCAACTAAAATCAAATACAATGGTCAGTTGATAGAGCGAGCACGTGTGGTTCGCAAGCAGTCCATACCTCATCTAGCGTCACTTGGCTATCTTTTGCGCCAAGAAGGATGAACTCGGAGGACCCAGAACCCTCGGTTTGAGGAAGCGCATCCAGCTGTCGGAGCACGGGGTGTTCCTGCGGTCGCAAAATATTAGCCAATCCCGGTTGGAAGCAAGATGTGTTTGTTACATACATTCTTAGTCTGTCGTTTCCTTTCAGCCTCGGCCCGTTTGGCATTCTTATCCATTTCCTGGAGTGACTTCGTCTCCCTAGCAAGGAGCGCTTCTTCTTTGGCAATTTCGGCTTTTAATAGATCGACGCTATCGTTCATCGTAGCCAAGTGGGCCTCGAGCGACCGCTAAAGATTTAATTAGGATGGACTTGTCGACAATCGTAGGGGGTCACATACGTGCTCATTCAGGGCAGATTCGTAGTCGAAGTTGGATTCCTTCGTTATGGGTGGAAACGGCATTCGCGGGAGTCGTTTACCTAAACTAAAACCACACAGTTAGTATCATCATCTCTCTCAAGACACTGGTAGCTCTGTGGAAGCTACCAGACTAAACATGGCGCCCTACTTTCGCACAACCGCTTGCACGGCACCCTGTGCCTCGATGCGCTTGCGCTCATTTTGATTCCGCATTATCACCGGTCGCTCGAGGGAGTGGAACATGTCCTTGATCTTTTCCTGGACGGGTTCTGGTAGAGGGGTCCATTTCGACTTGATGGTCTTCTCTGGGACGCGGCGGACATGAGGTTTGAGATAGGCATAACGCTTGGAGTCGTCCTCCTGCGGGACATCGTCGGTGTGTTTTCGCTTTGGAGGCATGGTAAGTTGAGGGCGGTTGGGTCTGTCGAGGTCCAAAATTAAGGTTACGTCGACGCGTCTTCACATGCAGACAAACCAGAGCGGTGGGGACAGAAGATGGAGATACTAGCAGCATTCCGACAGGTCTTGGTAAGTCTTGGCCTGGATTAAACATATTCGTACACACTAGTATTATATATTGAAAACTAAGATGGAATCTGAACATGTCCTTGAAATGTCAAATTATAGCATTGTCTATGTTAGCTTCAAAATTAAATGTGTACACATAGTAGAGAGCAATGGCACACATCTATGTCATAGCTTTGGGCAGGATATACTCTCTATATTATGAGCTACGTAGAAACATATATCTTAATATATGGACCAACACAATTTTTTTTTTTAAAAAAAAAAGCATTTGAAATACTCAAACTATGTTCTGCCAATACAGGCTTTTCGAATTATGCACCAGGGTATCGATATTTGCCGAGAACCAGCCAGAATATGACTTGTATCATCTACAGCAGGTAGATGGGAAAAAAAAAAAAAATACGGCCAAGAAACAGTATGCAGAGAATGGTGAAAATAAAAACAAAAGGTATCTTGTCGCTGGGGGTTTCAAAGATGAAATGCCCACTCGCCGGCGTGCATACACAAAACTGCCCACCCGCTGAAATGCTTGCAATCCCCCACCGAGAAAAGAGGCAGGGGCCATCCATGAGATCATAAATTAACGTTGTGATCGTGTCACAGAGGGTATCAACGCGGCATAACCAAGCCATTGATGCCCTTCAAGTCATGCAATTGGCTTCGGAGGATGTCATTCCCATGGAGAAGGTCCTCAAGCCAGTCAGCAGCTCCAGTGAGCATTGCGCTTTTGCTGAACCCGCCGCCTCTGAGCGCAGGGACAAGTGTGCATAAGTCCTCGAAGCCTTGGCGAATGAGATTTCGGCGTTTTTGCTCTGAAAGAATGTGGTTGGTCCGCTTTTGTTCCTCTGTGAGATTCTCTCGGGCAGCTTTGGACCCTGGCTGTAGTCGGGCTTTTCGAGACATGTCTGTTGATGCCCGTCGGCCTTTGCTGATAGATCCTCTAGATTTTCTTGAGTGAGGTCGTGCATCATCGTCATCGGAGTATTCGTCGCCCTCCTCTTTCACGACTCTTGAGCGTTTCCGAGGGTGTAAGCTCTCGTCCAGGATAGCACCACTTCGGAAGGTGGGACCTTGAGGAGGAGCCCCAACCATGCGTTCTGGACTAGGTGCCCGTGTGTTTGCTGCACTGCTTTGTGGTTCGAAACACCCGAGATGATCGAGCAGGTCATTTGTCCGCTGTTCCTCGTCGGGCTGGTCAGGGGGCGAAGATAGCCTTGATCCATGAAACTAGCATCTGAGCCCCATCGCAAACTGCGGACCTTCCTTGATGGATGTTGGTCTGCGGGAATGGGGTCACGGACGTCAAAAAACATCTCCGAGGTATGATATCCAATCGGTACATCAGCCCGAGGTGGAGATGAAGTTGAACCATGTGCAGTAATGCCGGTATGTGAATTGTTTTTTCGTTGTATCCCAAGGGCAGGGAGAGTGTGTCCTGCGAATGTCTGTTGTGCTAATGTAGATCCCAACTCTGATCCGTTTAGACCGCTGTGGTAGAGCATGGAGGCTGCGGCGAAGATATCCGAGCTTGTGGGGTTGTCTGTCATCATTCCCCCAGCTGCTTTGCCTAGCCCATGCTGCTGAAATGAAGGCTGTGATAGGGACGTGGTTGATCCCTCAAAGTTGGGTGGCAGCTCACCTGACCAGTCAAAGTTAGGCGCCCCGGGTTTATGTTCTTGTCGCATCCAGAAATCATTCGTAAAGTGGTTTGCGTTCATGGTAGTAAAGAAGTTGTCGAGCATGTTGGATTCATTATCATCAAGAAGAGAAGGCCCTGGGGGAAGAGCAGGTGCCTGTTCAAAGGGGGTGTCCATGGGGGAGAGAAAGGAGTCTAGAATCGGGTTAGAGAGGAAACAGTACAGAATGATGCTCAGGGCAACTCACATCCAAAGGGAGCAGCCGGAGGGGAGGTGCGCCCAGTCCGAACTTCAGTCCCATGTCCATTCATAGTGACGATTGATTCAATATCAAGAGGAATTTGTATGCTGGGGTGTCGGTCAAGAAAAGGGTTGCTACTCTGATGCTAAGAGTAGCGCGGATCAAGGCGACACTGTCATGCCTTGGACTCAAGTGCAAACAGTCTGCGATCAAGGTGATAGCGAGAGTTTGACTCCACAAAAGAGGGACGCGGGGGGGTAGATCAAAGCCACGGGGTTCTCCAGAGTTGATAATGCGACTCGATAAGAATATGGTTCGGTTCAGCGCAATGGGAATAAGAACCAGAAGGTCAGACAGAAGTGGAAAGAAAGAAAGAAATAGAAGAGGATCAAGAGAGTGTCCACACGCAAGAGAGATCGAGACGAATATGTGGAGAGTTTCGCATCAAAAGCAATTGTCCTGTTCGGCCTCGACCTGATCACATGCAAAATTTGAGCGCGTGACGTAACAGTACCAAAATTACAATAATTACGGCCGTTCCGGTGTGGCTTTACAATGTACCCCCGGTATTTAATACGTTCCTGGGGAAGAGCTCATGTGCTGTTGACTTCCGGAGAACCCTTCCCGAGGCCATGAGACCGACTTTGTGTCCTGTCACTGCCAGTCCTGCAAGTACTACAACAAGTATACTGCAGGTACCCTTTTATTACACCTTGATTCTTTGATGTACATCTAGAATACATCCCACTTCATTATATAACTCTTTCTCTCTCTCTCATTCTTATCTTGCAGGGGGAAAAAAACCAGATAAATTGGGTCCGGTTCATCTCCCTATTTTGGATAGTTCTCCTGGGATCGTCCGCCGCCACGGGGTTTTTTTCAGCCCCGCAATCCCGAGAATTTCCAAGGTTTGCCCCGAAAGGCCCATTGCTTCGGATGATCGTCCTCTGTCTTCTCTTAACTGGTCCCTCCCCCGAGTTTGGATTTGGGTCTTGTTTGCGGGGGCTTTTCTAAATTTCCCACCTGGGCAAGGACCGAGGTATAACCGAGTCTCTAACAGGCTCATTACATGAGATCCATGATCCACATACTAGTCTAGAAAAACGATCGTACAAGTGCCAATTTCCCCTCTGCCGGAGAATACTACCCAATTTTCGGGAGGTGCCAATTGTTAGGTCACCCAACGGATAAAACCGATCAAGCTCTTATACCTCCTGATTTTCTGATTGGTGAGAAGATCCTTGTGAATCCCATCAGAGTTTCCAAGGTTATTGTTGGCT